TAAACTGTTTGATATATATATATTTATAACTTTATCTTACCAGGAAGAAATCCCTTGAGATCATTAATCTATTTTACAAGGATGTCCTGGACAATATGGACATATTGTGGTAGTAACCAAGACTACTGACCTACACCCAATCACACCAGATCTGTGATTTACACTTTGCCATTAAATATTAGAGTCAAACACTTTGGCATTTACTATTACAGTCTGTCTGATCTTGGCTGTTTGACTGTGCACATTTGTTGCCAACAGAACATGAACCAGTCCAACTGTACGTTCACAAATCAGGTTTTACAGGTGTGGGGCTGAGTGTGACGTGAGTTGGACAGGTGTGGACCAACCTACAAGATCTGAAGAGCCACATATAGTAAGAACTATCCTGTTGGTTCCAGGAACATGTTTGAACTGACAGGAACTAGTTCAGTCAGATTTTCAGCACCACCTTGATCGCTTAGTTTTTGTAGACAAGTTTTAAAAAGTTTGATTATTACAAAGTTATATTACTAATTCAGATGCATACATTTTTTATCTCAGCATATTTTTTAGGTTATATATACCGGTATGTGTGTGTTGGGCTTAAAATCATTAGCGGTTGCAGGGAGCACAGTGAAAGTTGGTAAATGGACTGTACTTATATAGCACCTTTCTATCTGAGCAAGATACTCAAAGCTCTTTACAACAATCTGTGCCTCATGTACCCATTCACACAGCACTCTACTGGGTCTATACAAAGATAATTGAACAAGTCATTCTAAAGAGACTAATCAGAGCTTTATCACATTCAGACACTGATGGGACACACATCAGAGGCAACAAGGAGTTCAGTGTTTTGCCCAGGGACACTTCAGCATGTGACTGCTGGTGGATTCGAACCCCCAACTCTTGCATTGGAGGACGACTGCTCTAACCACTCAGCCACAGCTGCCCAGTTGAAGTGGGTTTGAGCATTTCATTGGGTGCCTAACAGTTTATTTTTCTGTCTTGTATCTTCCTAATATAAAAGCATCACAGCTGTGAAAGACCCAGAGACAAAGTTTTTAGATTGAAATCAAAACGGAGACAACAAAGATCAGCAGAAATAAAATAACAGAGATTTGACCAGAGAAAGGGATTCAGACATTTGTTTGGATGTTGCGGATGGTTTGACATAAAGAAATTTGTCACTGAACCAGACAAATATTTTTTAAGTATAACTTTAAATCTGAGGATTGTTCCTAAGAAATATGGTTATTAATTTAGGCTGTGCTGTGTTTCTCTTTAATTTAATGAATAAAACAGCAATATATAATAATATACAATCCTGAAACATCATCACAACATTTTGTACCTGAAACATCCTTTTGTCTTTTGTCCATTTGGCTGCATAAAGGATCTGTACAAACAGTCTTTAATTAAGAGTGCAATACTCTTTCTCCACCATGTCACATGATATTCAACAACACCTCTTCTAGCATTTACTGCATTGGCCCGAATCTCTGCTGTTCTCATTACTCTCCAAAAACACAATCATATCATAGCAGAGCCCATTCAGCAGTCCTGTATGCGCTAAACTCCTCCAGCAGGTTCTGTAATGTTGGGGCTTTGACACAGAAGGCTCCATTCAGCACAACTCTGCACTGCAGTCCAAACTACAGACCAGCCTTGTTGAGAGGAACCTTTGAGCGTCTGAAAAAACATGGTCTATTCTAAAGAGTTTGGAATTAAACATAAGACAGTGACAGATAAAAGGTTCCCTAAACTAGTTTATTGTCTTCTTAGATTGATGGACAAGATACAACAAGATCTCAATAATACAGTGTTCCTGTTTGGTATTTGGAATCCACGCCCTCTGCTGTGGAGGTGCATTACATTTCATGATCCTACTGTGGTTTTATGTACCAATGCCATTAATCACAATCTGTCCCTAAACCCCTTTGGATGAGTCATAACTGACTGAACAGTTATGATCACAATATTCTACTAGAGTCTGGAATATGATATTGGGATTACAGGAATGGCTCTAAATTGGTTTAAATAATATTTATATGATAGATTCCAGTTTGTAAATGTAAATAATGAGTCTTCTTCATAATCCAAAGTTAGTCATGGAGTTCCTCAGGGTTCAGTACTTGGACCAATAATCTTTACCTTAAAAATGCTTCCATTAGGTAAAGTTATTAAACAGCATAGGATAATTTTTCATTGTTATGCTGATGATACACAGTTATATTTGTCCTAACAGAGCACTTCGCTCTCAGACTGCAGGCTTACTTGCAGTTCCTAGAGTTTCCAAAAGCAGAATGGGAGGAAGATCTTTCAGTTATCAGGCACCTCTCTTGTGGAACCAACTTCCAGTTTCTGTCCATAGGGCTGACACATTGTCCAGTTTTAAGACTGGGCTTAAGACTCTCCTTTTTGATAAATCCTGATATATAAATAACTATATCCTAAATTTGGTATAGTTAGGGTTGGCTTGTTATGCTGCCATAGGTTTACACTACTGGAGGACACATTGACCTAATTTCTTAAAAGGAATTGTTAAAATTGAATAGTTTTCATTTGATACCATTTCTATCTTAGCATGTGATTCTCGACCTGCCATTGTGTATCTGTTCCTACCAAATTCAGCCGGTTGAAGCAGATGGCCGCTTGTCCTGAGGCTGGTTCTGCTAAAGGTTTCTTCCTCATGAGGGAGTTTTTCCTGTCCACTGTCGCCTTCATGCTTGTTCAAGATGAGAGTTCTGTGATGGAGTTGAACTCAAAGCTGCTCCTCAGATAAATAATGTTAAATTATTATTTTTATATATGAATGTTTCTGTTCAGTGCCCTGAGATGACTTCTGTTGTGATAAAAAAAACTGAATTAAATTAAATTAAATTGAATTGAATTAATTTATGTGTGTAAGTATCCTCTTAGATTGATGGCCAAGATACAACATGATCTCAGTAATACAGTGTTCCTGTTTGGTATTTGGGATCCACACCCTCTGCTGTGGAGGTGCATTACATTTCATGATCCTACTGTGATTTTACGTACCAATACCATCAATCACAACCTGTCCCTAAACCCCTTTGGATCAGTCATAACTGTAGGGACTATGTGTGTGATAATAAACTAGACTTTGGCCTTTACTGTAAACAGTCCTTTACTCTTTTTATCTCCTATGCCACACTTTGCACTCTTTGTCATCATCACCTTGTTAAGAAAAACCCTTTCGGTAATTACGTAACTTAAAGTTGATATATTAGCACTTACGCAATCACAGGCATGTACTCTTTGAATTTTTCCAAGAAACTTGTGAGTGTGCCAGGCTTATGAAGAATAATCTTCTGTTTCATGTCCTCAGCTGTTTTTGATGGAAGATGGATGCCTCGTCTCCTAAAAGGAAGTACAAAAGAGAAGGGAAATAGTTAAGAGGGCTGTGTTGAAACCTAGTTAAGAAGTTTGTTTAATCTCAGTCCAAAAATAAAAATGTTCTTTTACATAGTTACCAAACAAAGGCAATCAAAGTTATTTTTAAATAGAATATCAAATATTATTCAATAAAACCACAAAAATTCCCATTATGACACATACTTGTAGTAAAAGTAACAAACATATTGACCAACACATTTGATGGCACTCGACAAAATGTAATGTTTTTTAACTGGTTTCTGAATTGGTGACTGCATGTTGTTTATATGACTTTTAAATTTGTGTTTTTCTGATGTAAAGCACTTTGAACTGCATGTGTTGGTGAAATGTGTTATGCAAATAAACTTGAGTAATTGAAACTTGAAAAATAATTGCAACAGAAAGACTAATTTTTAGACAAACTAACCAAAAGTTTAGTTCAAAGATTTGTGTTTGTTACATTTCTTTAAATATAATCAGATTTAATTTGGTGATTTTTCGGTACAATGGGACGCAACTTTTAGACCTATTTTGGTATTGTTGGAATTTGAAATTTAAAAGTGTTTTCAGTCTTTTTCTAACTAGTTCCAACTTCCAGTTTTTGTCTGTGAGGCTGACACATTGTCCAGTTTTAAGACTGTATTTAGACTTTCCTTTTTTATTCTTCCTATAGTTAGGGTCGGCTTGGGTTTCCTGAGCTGTCCCTTAGTTCTGCTGCTATAGGCTTAGACTGCTGGAGGACAAACTGACCACACTTTTCACTCTGCTACTGTCTTCACTTACTCTGCTCAACCTGTTTTGTATTTGTAATTATTTTTACTATCCTTAACATGTGTTTTTGTCTTTCAGATACACCTGGACCTGAACCCACACCTGGACCTATACCTGGACCTGGACCTGGACCTACACCTGGACCTGGACCTATACCTGGACCTGGACCTATACCTGGACCTCCCATTCTGTGTTCGTCTGTCTCTCCTTCCTGTCCTCTCAACCAGCCGGTCAAAGCAGATGGTCTCTTGTCCTGAGTCTGGTTCTGCTGGAGGTTTCTTCATGTTAAAATGGAGTTTTTCCTTTCCACTGTTACCACTGTGCTTGCTCAGGATGGGAGACTGTAACGAAGCCAAGATTCATCTTGTCTGCTGGATTCCTTAGATAGAGAACTTTACTAATTGGCTTTTATGTGAATGTTCCTGTAAAGTGCTCTGAGACAACTTTTTTGTTATATGGAGCTATATGAATAAACTGAATTGAATATTCCGATGCGTGCTCAATAATCCAGGTAGAAAAATCCAAAAAAGTTCAATCTGGTCCTCTGGACATTCAAAAAAACAAAAAATAAAACAAAACTGAATTGAACTGAATTGTTAACTTACACACAATATCCAGATATATTAAGTAAATCTGGAAAATATTTAGAAATTTATTTTATAAAACAGTATCACTAAGAAACCTACTGCTTTGAATTCAAAAAAGTTTGGTTTGTTTATATGGTCCCAATTCATATTTAGCATATTCATAGTCATATTTATCTGATAGATTCCAATATGTACATGTAAATAATGAATCTTCATCATACACCAAAGATAGTCATGGAGTTCCTCAAGGTTCAGTGCTTGGACGATTATTTTTTTTACGTTGTATTCATTCAACTTTTATTTAGACAGGTTAATCCCATTGAGCCTTGGGGACTCATTTACAAGAGAGACCTGATTTATGCTTCCATTAGGTAAAGTTATTAAACAGCACGGGATAAATTGTCATTGTTATGCTGATGATATACAGTTATATTTGTCCATGAAACCCAATGAATCCAATCAGCTACTTAGACTACAAGCATGTCTTCAAGACATAAAAACCTGGATGACCCTTAATTTTCTCCTGTTAAACACAGACAAGACTGAGGTTTTGGTTTTAGGACCTGAGCACCTTAGGAATTAATTTTTCAGTCTTTCTCCCTCCTTAGATGTCATTAATCTGTCCTCCAGCTCTAATGATAAAAATCTTGGTGTTATTTTTGATCAGGACATGTCTTTTATCCAGGCAGCACGGTGGCGCAACTGGTAGAGCTGCTGCCTCTCAGCGAGCAGGTCCTTGGTTCAAACCCCGGTCCAGGGGCCTTTCTGGGTGGAGTTTACATGTTCTCTCCGTGCATGCGTGGGTTTTCTCCGGGTACTCTGGTTTCCTCCCACAGACCAAAAAACATGCATGTTAGGCTGATTGGTAACTCTAAATTGTCCCTAGGTGTGAGTGAGAGAGTGAATGGTTGTTTGTGTCTATGTGGCCCTGCGATGGACTTGCGACCCGTCCAGGGTGTACCCCGCCCCTCGCACAGTGATTGCTGGACATGGGCACAAGCGACCCCCGTGACCCAAAATGGAACAAACGGGTAAAGATAATGGATGGATGGATGGATGTCTTTTATCCTCCACATTAAAAACGTTACTAGAACCTCCTTCTTCCATCTGCGTAATATCACTAACATTAGAAACATCTGATCTAAAGATGATGCAGAAAAACTGGTCCATGCATTTGTCACATCTAGACTGGACTATTACAATGGTTTATTATCTGGATGTCCAAATACTTCTTTAAAACATCTTCAGTTGATCCAAAATGCTGCTGCCAGAGTCTTAACTGGAGTTACTGGGAGAGATCATATTTCAACAGTTTTAGTTTCTCTCCATTGGCTCCCTGTCAAATCCAGAATAGAATTCAAAATCTTACTTCTACCCAGGGGTGGAAGTAACAAATTACAAATACGTTACTGTAATTAAGTAGATTTTTTGGGGTACTTGTACTTTTATGAGTATTTCTTTCAAGTGTGCAATTTTACTCATACTTAAGTACAATTTAGACCATATAACCTACTTCGCTACTTTTAAAATCAGAAGTTGCTACAGAGTACGGACACAATTTGAATTAATATTCAAACCGTTCATCTGCATCTTTGTAGCCAATAAGGCTCTCAGATCATGAACGCACCAATTACCTATGACGTAAGCAAAGAACAACTCTGTAGAGAGTCATTTATGGAGCGAAGATTTGGAGAAAAAGCCAAAATGGAGAAGACAACACTGTCAACAGAGAAAATGACGAGGTAAAGGCTGAGGACGAGTGCATGTGGCCGTACCTGGAGGAATGTTTCATGTACAGAGGGTGAACAGGAGACAGGTCCAGATGCAAACTTTGTTTGATCTCTACGGTGATAGCAGCTTCAAGACTTTATCATCTAATCTCAAAAACATATTGTGGTATACGAGGTTTTACAACTACCAGGTGATATTGCTTTTTTATTGTTTGTATGTGTGGATTATTAGTTTGGCTAAGTATGCAAAGACCTTAGATCTTGTCACTGCCATCAGTTTGTCTGGTACCTTTTTTTTTGTATTGAACATTTTTTGAATTTGTCTGGTACTAAAATAAGACGGAGCTTCTGAGCGTCTGAGAAATGAGCTTTAAATGTAGCTGTTATACACAGTAAATCAAACTGAACGCCTTCTATTGACAACACAATAAAACATCAAGTGGTTAAAAAGTAATTAATACTCTGAGTAGTTTTTGAGAAGAGTACTTTGTACTTTTACTAAAGTATTTTGTAACACCAGTACTTTTACTTGTAATTGAGTACAATTTAAGCAGTGCAACAGGACTTGTACTTGAGTACAAATTTTCAGTACTCTTTCCACCTCTGCTTCTACCCTACAAAGCTCTCAACAACCTAGCTCCATCTTATATTACAGATCTTATTGTTCCATATTTTCCTAACAGAGCGCTTCACTCTCAGACTGCAGGTTTACTTGCGGTTCCTAGTGTTTCCAAAAGCAGAATGGGAGGAAGATCTTTCAGTTTTCAGGCTCCTCTTGTGGAACCAACTTCCAGTTTCTGTCCATGAGGCTGACACATTATCCAGTTTTAAAACTGGACTGAAGATTTTCCTTTTTGATACATTTTATAATTATTGTTGGTTTGTTATGCTGCCATAGACTTACACTACTGGAGGACAAACTGACCTCATCTCCTTAAATGAATTGTTAAAATTTAATAATTTTATATTGATACTATTTCTATCTTAACGTGATTCTTGACCTGCCATTGTGTATCTGTTCCTCCTTCCTGTTCCTACCAAACCCAGCTGGTCCAAACCCAGCCTGGTTCTGCTAAAGGTTTCTTCATCACGAGGGAGTTTTTCTTTCCACTGTCGCCTTCATGCTTGCTCAAGATGAGAGTTCTGTGATGGAGTTAAACTCAAAGCTGCTCCTCAGATAAATAATGTTCAATTATTATTTTTATATATGAATGTTTCTGTTCAGTGTATTGAGACGACCTCTGTTGTGACTTGGCGCTTTATAAATAAATTGAATTGAATTGTTGCTCAACATCCCCAGTGTCTCTTTAAATACCAGAGAAACTCTGCCAGAAATGGAAGATAAAAATTATCTGGATTTGAGTCTTGAGCCAAACTTTACTTGCATGTCCTCACCATAAACATGTTGATATAATATTTTTGAACGTTGACTGAAGGCCAACAGGAATAGGTTAAAGCCAACACATCCCTGTGTCTGTGTTACTTTATCATTTTACATAAAGTTGTTCTGCTGAGCTGATATTATGTGATTCCAAACCACAACAGGCCTATGAACATCATCCTGCTGTCTGAACATGCAGCTTTAAAGCTTATATGAGAACAAGAAGTCATGCTTGACTCATGTTTGCTGCTGGTGTTCCGCATATTGTTTTCCACTATTAAGTGTTTAGCATATTTCTTAGTTTTATGTATTTCTTAGTTTAATGTATTTCTTAGTTTAATGTATTTCTTAGTTTAATGTAGTTCTTAGTTTATATCTTAGATCCTTAGTACTGTTTATTTTACAATTTATATGCTATTGTTGAATGTAACTGGGACCCTGTGTACACAATTTCATTCCACCTCATGTACCACATGTGATGCAAATGAGAATAAAGAACCTTGAACTTGAACTTGAAAAACCTAATGTGAATATGTTAATGCTGTAATAAAACCAAAGTAAATAAACCTACTTGGCAACATCAAGAATAGTCTGCACCCTGATGGCTCCATCGAGGTGTACATGCAGCTCAACCTGTGGATGACACAGAAGATTATGTAGGCAATCAATCCACGTTGTTTCCACACACAAAGATGTTGAAAGAATGTCTGAGAAAGGAAAGAAACAAGTGATGTGGTTGTATTCAAAAATAGAGCTAAAGGAGAGAGCATTTGTGTTGAAGTTTAAAGTTTTGGCTACAGCTCATCATGAATAAAGAATGCATGATTGGGTAGTGTTCACTCGTAATGAAAAGGCCAGGGGTGCCACAGGGGGCAATAAAGAAAACCCTGGCTCTCTTTCTTGAAAGCTATCATTTATTTTGGCAGATGATGCAGATAAATCATTTTCCATCTTTCCCCAGCTGAGAGCCCAGCTTGGACAAGTTACAAAGTTGAAAAACAGTAAATGAGCCTCTTTCTGACAAGAGCTGAAAAACTTCCAGATCCTGCTGTAGCTCTGCAGAACCTCAGATGAACTTGTAATCATTTCTGGACGAACGAGCCAAACATTTCCTAAGATCATACTGAAGAACAGATGTGAGATAAATGGTGTCAGTGAAGCTGTAATTTGTTCTTGGATCTAAGAAAGCACAATCCTTGACACAATGAATAATTTCTGAGAGTTTAAAATAAAACCAATCCAGGGGCGTCTGTGGCTGAGTGGTTAGAGCAGTCGTCCTCCAATGCGAGAGTTGGGGGTTCGAATCCACCAGAAGTGTCCCTGGGCAAGACACTGAGTCCCTCATAGCCTCTGATGTGTGTCCCATCAGTGTATGAATGTGATCTAAAGCTCTGATTAGTCTCTTTAGAATGATTTGTTCAATTAGCTTTGTAGAGATCTAGTATAGAGCTGTATGAATGGGTACATGAGGACACAGATTGTTGTAAAGAGCTTTGAGTGTCTTGAAATAAGATAGAAAGGTGCTATATAAGTACAGTCCATTTACCATTTAATGAGATATTATGCTAACAGACAAATAAGGTTGATGTGCAGCACTCAAGTTCTTCATTGGGAATGATTCTCATCTACCACTACACCAAATTTAACTTGGTATATGTAAATTTGACAAAGCTGTAGTCATTAAGCATTTCCTAAGTCAGTTGGCTATGGAGGCCATGTTCTATCAGACTGACTCTAAAGGTCAATTATTTGCAGATCTACAACCATTGATTACTTTCTTTTTAGTTTAAATAAAGACTATTTAGTGGTTCAAATTTTTTTGGTAACAGACAAATATGCCCCCCCCCCCCCCCCCCCACACACACACACACACAAACGGAAAGAGAGAGCAAGAGAGAGAAAAGGGAAATCACTCTGCTACCTTCAGCCTTCAGTAAAGGTACCGGTAATCAGCAACAATTTGAGTAGTAATATGTTTTTTGTTTGCTTTTCTATCATTGTTTGTTTACAGCATTTTTGCATTAAATCACAACAAACAAACTTTAGTGATACCGTCCTATTAGTTTCACAGATCTGTGAGTCTTTTCCAGGGTGGACAAAATGTTTTAAATGATTTATTTAATCTCCTCCTTGAATCGCCACCTTATCAAGGTGGAGGAGTTTGTGCGCCTGAATGATCCTAGGAATCCTAGGAGCTTTGCAGTCTGGGTAGGGTTTCCCAAAGAAGATCGTTCCTTGGTGACAGGCCAGACAAAATGTGATTCTGAAGACTCTTATGGACAGAAAAAACAACAAGCTCAGTGTCCCTTGCCCAGACGTGGGTTACTGGGGCCCCACCCTAGTGCCACGTCTGGGAGAGGGGCTCATCAGTGAGCGCCTGGTGACAGGGTCTCTTCCCATGGGGCCCGGTCAAGCTCAGCCTGAACAAGCAACATGGGTTTGCCTTCCTGTGGGCCCACAACCTGCAGGAGGGGCCATACAAGTCGGGTGCAAGACTCCATAGGCTGTGGTTGAAGACAGGGGGCTTTGGCACTCTGACCCTGGCTCAATAAAGCTGGCTCTTGGGACATGGAATGTAACCACTCTGGCAGGGAAGGAGCCTGAGCTTATGTGTGAGGTTGCGAGGTACCAACTCAATATAGTTGGGCTTACCTCGACCCACAGCATGGGCTTGGGAACCAATCTCCTTGAGAGGGGCTGGACCTTATTCCAGTGTGGAGTTGCTCATGTTGAGAGGAACTGTGCTGGTGTGGGTCTACGCTTAGCCCTCCGACTTGGTGCCTATATGTTGGAGTTTTCCCCGGTAGATGAGAGGGTAGCTTTCCTGCGCTTTTGGGTGGGGGGACAGGCTTGGACGATTGTTTGTGCCTATGCACCAAATGGCAGTTCAGAGTATCCAGCCTTCTTGGAGTCCTTGACAGGGGTGCTGGAAAGTGCATCAGCGGGGAGCTCTTTTATTCTGTTGGGGACCTTCAGTGTCCATGTGGGTAATGACAGTGTGACTTGGAGGACAGTGACTGGGAGAAACGGCTTCTCTGATCTGAAACCAAGCTGTGTTCTGGTGTTGGACTTCTTTGCTAATCATGTTTTTTCCAACATGAACACCATGCTCGAACATAAGGGTGTTCATAAACAATCTTGGCACAAGGACGCCCTAGGCTGTAGATCGATGATTGACTTTGTAATTGTGTCATCTAATTTGTAACAGTTTGTTTTGGACACCCGGTTGAAGAGATGAACTGACCTGTCAACTGATCACCACCTGGTAGTGAGTTGGATCAGATAGTGGGGGAAGATGCCAGACAGACCCTTCCATCCATCCATCCATTATCTTCTGCTTGTTCCGAAGTCAGGTTGCTGGGGCAGCAGCTTAAACAGGGAGGCCCAAACATCTCTTTCCAAAGCCACCTCTTCCACTTCTTCTGGGAGGATTCCAAGGCATTTCCAGGTCAACTGAGAGACATATTCTCTCCAGCATGTCCTGGGTCTTCCCCGGGGTCTCCTCCAAATCGAACATGCCCGAAGCACCTCCCTAGGGAAGCGCCATCCTTACCAAATGCCCGAACCTGCTCAACTGGCTCCTCTCAATGTAGAGGAGCAGTGGTTATACTCAGAGTCTCTCCCGGATAACTGAACTTCTCACCTTACCTCTAAGGGAGAGTCCAACTACCCTGCAGAGGAAATTCATTTCAACCGCCTGTATCCACCATCTCATTCTTTTGGTCACTACCCAGAGCTCGTTACCATAGGTGAGGGTACAGAGAGCTTTGCCTTACAGCTCAGTTTCCTCTTCACCAGAAAAGACTGGTACAGAGTCCGCAATACTGTAGATGCAGCACCAATCCATCTGTCAATCTCACGCTTCATTCTTCCCTCACTCGAGAACAAAACCTCAAGATACTTGAACTCCTCCACTTGAGGCAGAACCTCAACCTCGACCTAAAGAGAGCAATTCACCCTTTTCTGGGTGAGGACCATAGCTTCAGATTTGGAGGTGCTGATTCTCATCCCAGCTGCTTCACACTCGGCTGGGAACTGCTCCAGTGAGAGCTGAAGACCACAGCATGATGATGCCAATAGGACCACATCAACTGAAAAAAGCATAGATGGAATCCTGAGGCCACCAAACCAGAATCCCTCAGTCCCTGGCTGCACCAATAAATTTTGTCCATAAAAGTTATGAACATAATCAGTGACAATGGGTAGTCCTGGTGGAGTCCAACTCCCTCCTTGAAGGGGTCCGACTTACTACCGGCAATGTAAACCAAACTCTCTCACCACTTGTATAGGGACTGAACAGGGACACTTCGGCATGTGACTGCTGGTGGAATTGAATCCCCAACTCTTGCATTGGAGGACAACTGCTTTGACCACTCAGCCATAGCTGCCTGTAAAGTAATGCCCCTGTAATTGGAGCACACCCTCCGGTCCCCTTTTTTGACGAGGAGAACCACCACCCCAGTCTGCCAATCCAAAGGCGCTGCCCCTGATGTCCATGTGATGTTGCAAAGACGTGTCAACCAAGGCAGTCCTACAACATCCAGAGCCTTAAGGAAATCAGGGTGAATCTCATCCCCCTGTAGCCCTGTCGCCACATAGCTTCTTGACTACTTTGATGACCTCAGTCACAGTTATGGCCAGACCAACTCCAAAGTCCTGCAACTCCACTTCCTCAATGGAAGACGTGCCAGTGGGACTTCAGCTTGACAGCCTCCCTAACCCAGAGTGTCCACCACCGAGTTCTAGGATGGCCACCGTGAGAAGCGCCAACCTTCAAGGTAGCTGTACTCTCCCTTAGAGATAGGGTGAGAAGTTCAGTTATCCAGGAGAGACTTGGAGTAGAACTGCTGCTCCTCTACATTGAGAAGAGCCAGCTGAAGTAGTTCAGGCATCTGGTAAGGATGCTCCCTGGGCACCTCCATAGGTGCTTCTGGCATGTCTGACTGGGAGGAGACCCCAGGGAAGACCCAGGACACACTGGAGAAACTATGTCTCTCGGTTGGCTTGGGAATGTCTTGGAGTCCTCCCAGAAAAGCTGGAAGAGGTGGCTGTGGGAAAAAAAACATCCAGATATTTTTCTTCTTCAAACTAAGAGCTTTAATGTGTGATAATAAACTGTTTTGAGTGAATTTTTTGTGTGCCTTGGCTTCCACAAAAGCTCTTGGAGCGTCACAGCTGTTTCCAGAGACAGAAAAGCTGTTTGACTTGTTTACAAGCTGAGGATATCCTGAACTCACAGCAGTTCCTACAGTCAATCGAGGTACATTATATAATCCTGTACAGATGACAAGCTGTATACTCTTTCTAAGATCAACTCTGAAATTGTTGCACAAAACCATGACTCTGAAAGGAAGTTCCCATGAATTGAAGAAAATATTCTGGACTGACTTCCAGTTCTGACTCATGTGAAGCAACATTTAACCTCCTGTCATACCATCTTTCTCTTTATGTGCATGTTTGTTATAAGTAATGGGCTCCATCTGGGCCATGCTGAAGCAAATACTCTGAAAGCAGGAGATTTGATAAGTTTCACTGGAATATTTCACTGCTCGGATGAAGTGAAAACATAAATTCTGAAATTATCACACTAATCGTCAGTAAAAAATTCACAAACACTTCATCTAATTGAATTG